AATCATTTCATTCCATAAAGTATTTTAGGGCACCTCAGGCATGCAAGGATGTGTTTTGTCATACTTGTAGCATTTAGAAAATAATATTTCTTCTCACAATATCTGCAAATTGCAGCTTTGCTCTCAGCAGAAATTGCACTGTGGAAATATTTCTAAATTCACCATTATATTGAAAGAAGGAAGAGAAAAAAACAATTTACTGACCAGACTATAGGTAAACAGTATGCTGTGATGGTGGAGAACATTCATAGGAATCATTTAAAGGTGTGAGAACTCACTGAAGCACTGGGCTGTGGAGGGGTGGAAGCGGCTGGCTCAGTCTCTCTGCACTTGGCTGAGAGGCTGAGCCAGGTGCCGCTCCAGATTCTGGGGTGGATGCTGACTTTAAAGTCAGGATCTTTCCCCAGCCTGAATCTGCTGAGTGGTGTCAGCCGCAAGTGGGCTTCAGCCCGCTGTCAGCTGAAAATGGGTCAAAGGGGTGCAGAACTAACTGCACTCCTGTGATCCACAGAAGTACAGCCAAAAGAGCTTTGGCTGTACTTCTCCTTTAAGTTCAATTAAGGCCTGAGATGACGACAGAATCTATCATCTACTGTAACCCAACCATCACCCAACTGTAGGAGGTACAAGATGGAGCCTACAAACAAACTTCACTGGAGCCTTTTTTGCTTGCATTTGTGGCAGAAATGCATCTTGTTTGAGAACTGCATTGAGAAGCACAGTGATACTTGAATTGTATTCCAGGATTTGCTTGTCTTCGAGAGAACTTGCAATAATTTAAGACTTTACATAGTTAGTCTGGCTGAAAAAAGAAAACAGTTCATCCAGTTCAACCATTAAAAAAAAAAAAGTTATAATCTTATACCTACAGTTGATGCAGAGGAAAAAAAGAGAGAAAAAAACCCAGCAAAGCATGATCCAATTTCCCCGAGAGGCGATCAGATATTCCCTGGATCAACTTTATCTATAAATGTTAGTATCCAGTTATATTCTGTGTATCTAAGAAATAATCCAGGCCTTATTTAAAGCAATCCACTGAGCTGGCCAGAACCAACTCTTGAGGGAGTCTATTCCACATTTTCACAGCTCTCACTGTGAAGAAACCATTCCGTGTTTGGAGATTAAATTTCTTTTCCTCCAGACGTAAAGAGTGTCCCCTTGTCCTCTGTGATGACCTCAGGGTGAATAATTCTACACCGAGTTCGCTATATGAACCACTGATGTATTTATACATGTTGATCATATCCCCCTTAATCTCCACTTCTCAAGAGAGAATAAATTCAGTTCCTCTAATCTTTCCTCATAGCTGAGCTCCTCCATGCCTCTTATCAGTTTGGTTGCCCTTCTCTGTACTTTCTCCAGTTCCCCAATGTTCTTTTTGTGAATTGGTGCTCAAAACTGAACTGCATATTCCAGATGAGGTATTACTAATGATTTGTACAGGGGTAATATGATCTCTCTTTCTCTCTCTGGAGTCTATACTTCTTTTAATACAAGAGAGGATTTTGCTCGCTTTAGAAACTGCAGCTTGGCATTGCATGCCATTATTAAACTTGTGATCTACCAGAACTCCCAGATCCTTCTCCACCATTGATTCCCCCAGTTGTACTCCCCCTAGTATGTATGATGCATGCATATTCTTAGCCCCCAACTGCAGAACCTTACATTTATCAACAGTAGCCTCCCTGGCGGTATTCCCGAGTGTAGCTCGGGGGTAAAGTTTCAGTACCACAAGCGGTAACCCCGAGCTACACTTGGGCTTACCATGCGGCACTGCTCCAGGATCTGTTCTTCTCTTACCTTGTCCTGCGCTCCCCACAATGTCCCTCCTGCAGTGTCCCCTGGAATGTCCTCCGGCGGATGCCGGCATCTGTCTTCTGGGGTTCCGTCCCCTGAGACGTCGGGACGTACTGGGATGGAACGGCGGGAAATTTAAAAATGACAAAAAGTGACATTCACTAAATTCACTAAATTCACACAGTATAACATTACTGTGTCAAAGCATTTCACATACATTTTGTCCCTAGTGCTTTGTTCTGTGCCCTGCCTACATTTTTACTATTCTGTCTGCCTGGAAACTGAGAAACGTCCATGGCGTCCAAAAAGCATCCCTTTAGGTCAAAATCGGTTTTAGACCAGCTAGAGAACAGCGATAGTAAATTAGAACCACTTGCAGAATTGAGTGATAATGATTCGTGGGGAAATTCGTCATCAGACACTGAAAACAATTTTGCGACTTTGCTCAGTGATGTGCGAACTTGGCGCTCTATTTCAAATTTCAGTGTTTTGGGTTTGATTATATTATTGAATTAAATTAAATTTATTATTATTATATTATTATTTTTTATGATTATTTATTAAATTATAATTTATGATTTCGTGTTTCAAATTTTACCATACCCGGGATGTTTACTAGACTCTTGTTCGGACAGATTTCAGTGAGTTATTCCTAAAAATTACAGGCCTACAATAAAAAAAATATATATTTCCATGCAAAAAAATGTACCACTTTGAGCACAGAAATATGCACATAATCAGACCGCTAGGGAGGTTAAACCTCATTTGCCACATAGTTGCCCAATTAAACAGTGCATTGAGGTCGGCTTGTAAGTTAAGACATCCTGTAAGGATGTTATTCCACTGCACAGCTTGGTGTCATTTGCAAAGACTGAAATTGTATTTTTAATCCCAGACCCTATATCATTTATAAATATATTAAAAAGTAAGGGTCCCAACACTGAACCTTGGGATACACCACTGACAACCGTAGACCATGCAGAGTATGAATCATTAACCACTACTCATTGAATACGATCTTTTAGCCAGTTTTCTATCCATTTACATACGGATTTTTCCAAGCCTGTAGACTTTACCTTACACATTAGCCATGTGTGGGGAACTGTGTCAAATGCTTCTGCAAAATCCAAGTATACCACGTCCACCGCCACCCCTCTGTCCAAGGTTTTGCTCACTTCCTCATAAAAAGAAATCAGGTTTGTTTGACAACTTCTGTCTTTCATGAATCCATGCTGTCTGTTGCTTAAAATATTTTTTTCCAGCAAGAACTCGTCTATGTGGTCTTTTATTAAACTCTCCAGTATCTTTCCAACTATAGAAGTTAAACTAACAGGTCTAGAATTACTTGGTAAATATTTTGACCCCTTTTTAAATATTGGCACTACATTGGTCTTACGCTAATCCAATGGTACTATGCCAGTCATTAAAGAGTCCCTAAAAATTAGAAAAAATGGCTTTGAAATGACAGAGCTCAATTCTTTAAGGACCCGTGGGTGTATGCCATCCGATCCAGGTACTTTATTCACCTTTATTGTCTAAATATTTTTGGATCATATCAATTGTGAGCCAATGTGGATCATCTGGAGCTGTGTCAATGCCATGCCCAGTATGCACAAGAGCTCCCCCTTGCTCCTTTGTATAGACAGAGCTGAAGAAGGTATTTTAATAAATTTGCCTTTTCTTTGTCCCCAGTCACCCACTATAGATTTATACACTGTAAAGTCTCAGAAATCTTTCAATAAGGTCTTCATGCTATATAGTTTGAATACTATGTCATAGATATATTATTTATCATTGTAAGTTAACATTTTCCAGACTCTTTATTTTTTTAAATTTTTCTGAAAAAAAAAAACAAAAAAACGGCTTTAGAAAAAAAATGGAAAAAACACAATTTTTCCCAATTTTTCTGTTGTTTTTCCAAGCTTTCCCATCTTTACAAATAACTCACAGCAGCTGGACAAGGCAGGGCATAACCCTGGCTGTGCACATAGGATTAGTAAGCAGAAACTTTTAGGTTCCCTAATGGATGATTGATCTACTGGATCTGCCAGTTCATGACTGTTAATAAATGGATTCATATTATTATTATTATACAGGATTTATATAGCGCCAACAGTTTGCTCAGTTTGCTTTACAATATAACGGGAGACAATACAGCAACAATACAGTTCAATACAAGAGGGATAGGAGGGCCCTGCTCCTTGGAGCTTACAATCTAGGAGATTGTCAAGTACTAACAATAGCCTGATAGATGGTACCTGCACAATGCTATGAATGCCCCCCATGTGCCAGTGAGATGAGAGTAACCTATTACTACCTGTACCTGGAGTGTTTTGAGTGATTCAGTAGTCCTAAAGGAAGAATTTCCTATATGAATCCACTACATCATATTTAAAAAATATTACTATAAAATAAAATAAAATAAATGACAGCAACTTGAGTAGATAAAGATTTCTTGCAATGAATACAGTAAGCTAAATTGTCATATTAAGCACTATGTAGCTTGCCCTATAGAACTACAATGCATTAGGTTTAGTGTTCAATTACAAGACGTCAAGCATTTCAATTGCTGTCAATTCTCAGTCACCAATTTAAGACACCTATACTTTATTTATCCCTCTATTTGAACCCAATTTTGTTATATGCTGGAATTATATAAAGAACAACAGTGCATAGGATTATTATTGGTTCCTGTGACTTAGGCAAGAATCTGGCAGATACAGACAAACTTATCATGTCTTGTTCATCATACGGCAGAAATGAATATAGGATGGTCAGTTTTTCTCTCTGCATTTCTAAGATAGATGCTTTCGATTCGGCCCTTCCCCCAGTCCACCTACACAGACTCTGACATACAGAGAAAGAGTCTTATTGCAATGTGTATGTGGGTGGAAAACAGCAGCGAGAGCTCAGGCAAGGGGAACCCAGAGAAAAATCAGCAAGTGAGCCAGACACAGAGGCAGAGGGACTTGAGACAAGCAGATAGATAGATGCAGCTATAAGCAGACAACAAAGAGACCAAGGCAAGAGTAGATGAGGCCATACATTATGCAAGAGGCTCAGTTGTAGACAGGACAGGACAGAACAAGGAAATAAAAAAGAATACAATTTCATAGCAGCTGCACATCAAGAGCTTTAAACTCTGACAGTTTTTACTGCAGGCTTCGGGGATACCATCTATATCATACAAAATATTCCCCTACATGGCGGAAAGGGCTGGCAGATCAGACGACTTGAAGAGGGCCTCCAAAGCAAGGCAAGTAAGTTAGCAAAGTGTAAAGATGTATATGGTTGTTCATTCATTGAGTATAGTCTGCGTTGTGTCATTTCTATACCACCAGGTATATTTAATAATTAATCATGACTTTATGGCTTGCCTTGTTATTGGTAATTGTATTGCTAGATAAGTTTCATATGGATTTTTATTCAATCTGACTTTTAACACATTGTACGGGATGTGATGTAAATACATTGTCTGGCATATACATGCAGTTGTCCTGACTTGGAATCATGTTGTGTAAAGAGGTGGGCCACTTGGCTAATATCTTCATAGCTCTGGCCAGTAAAAATGGAATTGATACAATTGTATCAATCTGGACATATAATACAGAAAAGCCTTTGCTACTTACAGTAGTTGGAAGTATACTGTTAATGTATTGTTTTATTCTGAAGGGCAAGTTAGGCAGCCATTAGTGTGTCATTTATGAAGTTAAAGCTGTCACCTCAATAGATAGAGTCACCATATGTGTAATCCAGTATTCAGGTATGAGAACAAGGTGGCCCTGCCTCCCTTGTTTGCTTGCTCAAGTATGGGCTTCAGAGATCTATAGATGCACATATCTCTGCTCTGTATCTCCTTCCTTCTGTTAACTAGAATGATGATGGGAGCTGATAGATAAGGCAGCACATACTAGTTAAAAAAGCCACCCAGAGACATCAATACGTATAGGTACAGTATACAGTATGAGCATTTTTTAAATTTTAGTTGAACTGGACAGTGTACACAATAAGTGTGTAGCCTCCAAAATCCAGTCAGCTGATTTAATGATTTTTGTTGCCTACAGTAGAGGCTTCCTCAAAAAACAGTAATTTTTATATGATATGGGCAGCACAGTGGCTAAATGGTTAGCATTTCCGCCTGGCAGTACTAGGGTCATTGGTTCGAATCCCAGCCATGACACCACCTGCCTGGAGTTTGCATGTTCTCCCTGTGCCTGCGTGGGTTTCCTCCGGGTACTCAGGTTTCCTCCCACACTCCAAAGACATGCTGGTAGGTGAATTGGTTCCTGTCAAAATTGGCCCTAGTATGTATATGTATGAATGTAAGTTAGAGACCTTAGATTGTACACCCCTTGAGGGTTAGGGACTGATGTGAATGTACAATATATATGTAAAGCGCTGCGTAAATTGACGGCACTATATAAGTACCTGGAATAAATAATAAATAAATAATTCTCTCTTGTAATACTGTATATAAAAATGACTGCAGATTCCTATGTGTGCAAATGTATGTGAAAGCCATTAATTTTTGTCAAGGTGTATCTGCTATTCTAGACTGCTCTACTCCTAAAGTCTATCTTTTTTAAGAGTATGGAAATACTGTTTAGTTTAGAGTAGGGAGAGGTAAAACACCTACCATTTTGTGGTCCAAGTGTGGTGATTTCCTTTTACTTCCTCTTCTGTAGGAAATCTCTCCAAGGTACTTTCCCTCTTTCCCTATTCTATGAATAACTAAAACTAGGATTTTCCCTCACTTTCCATGACAATGGTTGCTGTGAAAAGTAAAAGTGAGGGGGAAATACAAAAGACAAATAGAGTAGATAAAACCTGATTGGTGCTAATCCTTCTCCTACTCTATCCAAAGGTTTTTGGTTTTACACTTATAAATGAAAATAACCCAAAAGGGGAAGTGCAGCTTGTCCTCCTCCCCCCTCCTGTTTAACATTTGGCACCTGTTTTTTGGGGTGATGCGGTTTCTTGGTTTTGACAGGCCTTAGCAATCTGAGTGGAATTTCATCCCCCTCTTTGCCCCCAGCCTTTTGGGACACATCACAGGTCCCAGAAAACTGCAGCACCATTCACAAAGCACAGAATGACTCGGGCATATGCAATGGGAAGCTGGCTTTGTAGCTTCACAGCCAGCTTCCCTTAGTTAAGATGCCGGGGCTAGGGCCCCAAAGCCCGATGAAGAACTGGCAACATGCATTTTCTTCCACACTGGAGACAGTAAACAGTCATTGAGCTTGGTTTTGTGATTTTATTAAGGGGTTTAAAACTTGGATGGGGTTGAGGGGTGTAAGGGATGCCCAAGGAACTGCGAACTTGCAGACAAACTCCTTAACAACTATGTACAGATGTGGACAAAAAAAGTCTCTCCTTTAAGAGCCTTCCAGCTCTCTGATGTACCTCCTCAGATCCCAGATGAACCCTCCTCTTCACCCAGCTGTACTAAGGGTATTCCCTGGGCAAGGGGGCCCAGAAACTGCCAATTTAGCACAGCAGCTCCAGATGACGAGCTAGTTGGGTTTCCCACCTGGCTGCCCTCTCCCCTTATGCGGCCCAGGGGGTGTAAGATTACTCACACTGTCCTTCCTCATAACTTAATGAGTTGGTGGCCACTTTCGCTGGGCTGGCTCCTTCTCTGCTGCTCAGGATATCCTCCCTTGAAGATGATGGTACAGTGGAGATCCTCCTCCCCAGCACCTGTCCGTAGGTAGGCCCCCTCCCTGGGCCCTCTCCCAGGCTCCAAACTCCAGCCTTTCAGTCCATCTTCTGCTCGACACCTGTCACTCCCAGGCTCTGTGATTCTTAAGGGTTACCTTGGTCACCATGCCCCGCCTCCTGCCAAGTTATTGGCCAAGGTCCTTTAGGTATGCAAATCCAAGCTTCCTCCCCTCCTCCATCCCTCCCCTAGAAAGCTCTGAGGTTTTTGGAGAGGAGGGAGGGCTCCAGAAGCTCTGACCTTAGAACCCCCTAGACTGTCCTGAGGTGAGCTCTTGCCTCACTCACAGGCTGACTCATCCCAGGCTGCTACTCAGCCTCTGCCTAGAAAAATAAAACAATGAGCTGCCGTCTAGCTAAGCTAAAGGGAGTTACACTCATGGATATGACATAATTCTTATCCAAAATGTAGTTCTCCATGTATTGGAAAAGCCTCAGGAAAGGTACTACCTTCAGGGCTCAGACATATAATTTAAGACGTACTTAAAATATGATTTGCAAAACAGATCAGTATACATACATTAGAGGGACTTCACCCTCTGTGTTATTTTGCTGTGCTGTGCCAATTTTTTTTTCTTTTCCCTCTTAATTGGTTATTCTGAAAATAAATACATGTCCAAAGAATTCAGCATTGCTCCATTGCAAACGGCTTCTCTATCACCATAGGATCACACATGACGTTGCCATCTTCCTTTATTTTTGTTTTTTGTAGCTGCTCCTGTTTGATCTCAGTGGAGCATGTACAATGTATTCTAGATCACTCTGAAGCCTCCTATAATGTGAAAAATGCATATCCTGGAGGATTCAGAGAGCTGGAGATGTCACTCTTCACATAGGCAAGAAAAGCAGAAGCATGGGCTGCGCTCCTCAAAAATGGTATTATAGTGTAATGTGAAAAATGTTTTAGCCAGGGGTGGACTGACAACTCATGGGGCCCCCGGGCAATAAGGGATCATGGGGCCCCTGTGTCCTTGCCCAAAGTCAAAAAAGCCTATGAAAAAGGTACCAGGGGCATCTCATGGGGCCCCCTACTGACCCCGGGCCCTTGGGCAGTGCCCGAGTTTCCAAATGCTCAGTCCGCCGCTGGTTTTAGCCCCTTTCCTACCGGGCACTTTTACCACCTTCCTGCCCAGGTCTATTTTCAGCTTTCAGCGCTCTCACACTTTGAATGACAATTGCGCGGTCATGCAACACTGTACCCATATGAAATTTGTATCATTTTTTTCACACAAATAGAGATTTCTTTTTGTGGTATTTAATCATCACTGGGTGTTTTCTTTTTTGCACTATAAACAACAAAAAGCAGACAAATTTGAAAAAAAAAAGTTTTTCTTTGTTTCTATTATAAAATGTTGCAAGCAGGTAAATTTTTTTCCTTCACTGATGTGCGTTGATGAGGCTGCACTGATACAGTAGGCATCAGTGGTGGGCACTGATGAGGATGCACTGACAGACAGCATTGATGGGCACTGATAGGCTGCACTGATGAGGTGGCACTCATGAGGTGGCACTGATGATGCTGTACTGATATGCGGACAACCACGCTGTAGCCATCATTCGGCTATAGCGTGGTTGTGAAGTGGTTAATCTTTTTAAATCTGCAACATTCATTATTAGGATATTTTTTTTTTATCCTGCTAGAAATCCAATGAGACTATAACTTCCTATGATTCTGCTGTTCTCAAATTTTAAGCAGTGTTTTAAGCCCTGTCCAATTCACCTCTGTGGACTACACAACACCACCTATGTTATAAAGATGAGGAGAGGAAGAGATGTTCTGTAGTTTAGATCAGGAGCAAGCAGTCTAGGGTGACAGTGCTGCTTCTCCATGCTCCATGTATACAGAATACTTTGGTCTCTATTACAACTGCATAACTCTTTAGGCGCCATGTACACGGAACACTTCTGAACGATGGCAACTGACTGCTGGAAAACGTATAAAAAAAACGCCTGTTTGCATAACGCGTGTATGCGCATTTATGTGCAATTGCGATTAGATGCATTTTTTAAAGATTAGCACAGGAGAACCTCCCAAATGCCCAGAATGCACTGAAATGAGGTAAATTATTAGCAATTTCAGACTATTTCAGAGAAATACAGAGAGTAGAAGCAGAGACAGCAGTATGTGTTAAAATTAGCTTAGGCATGAGTTGCTCATTAACATTTCTTTTGTTTCCAAGGGTGGGAAAGGTGTCTGTTGGAGTAAGTCATTAAGGTTACCTGACGGGGGGGGGGGGGGGTCTTCATGAGGAATTTAAGGTGTGAATGGTCATTAACATATCTTTTGTTTCCAAGGGTGGGAGAGGTCTGAGGTGTGAATTGGTCATTACAATGTGTGACAAGCTTGGTAGGAACATCCTGTTTTCAGTGCTTTGTCCATCTGAGTAACTTGAAAATGCTTTGCGTGCATTTTTCATGATGAAAAAAGGCTCTGGACAGCATCAGGAAGTGGAAGAGTTAAAAAAGATTTTCAGACGCAAACGCTTATAAAACGCGATTTGCCGCATTCACAAGCATTTTGCATTTGAAATCAAC